TTGTTTGGCGTCGCCTACTATAATGGTCGCTAAATTAAGAACGCAAACATTTCCAACATCCAAAGGGTGCGCCACCCCTATGATCTTGACGCCATAGTGATCGCCGTCGGTTAGCGATAGTATCCTATTCTCAGTACCCCTCCCCCCCCCCCATATACACGCACGAGTTCCCGGCTGACTTTGGAGCTTCCGGTGACGAGACCCTTCCCTGGGGCCTGGGGAATCACGAGCCCCTCCGGGTTCCGGGGTGCCCGTCCGAGTTTGGAGCCTTCAGTGACGAGACGCCGGTCCCGTCGCTTCTCTGGGGAATCACTAGCCCCTTCGGGTTCCCAGAAGACTTAAGAGTCATCGCTGACGACACGCCGGCCCCCTCCCTTCCCTGGGGAATCACGAGACTCTCCGGGCCCACGGCCGAGTTTCGAGCCTCCAATGACGAGACGCCGGCCCCCTCTCTTCCCTGGGGAATCACAAGCCCCTCCGAGTTCCCGTTAGACTTTGATGCTTAAGCTGACGAGACGAGACGCCAGCCCCGTCCCTTCCTTTGAGAATAGCGAGCTCCTCCAAGCTCTCTGAATACTTCGTAGCCTTCGGTGACGAGACGCCACCTCCCTGAGAAATCACGAGACCCTCCGAATCACCGGCGGACTTTGGTGTTTTCGGCGAATAGACGCCGACCCCGTTCCTTCCCTGGGTAATCACGAGCCCCTCAGGGTTTCCGATATAGCGGCCCTGGTGGCGCAGTCGGTTAAGGCGTCGACCCGCGGTGCGGGCGGTGCCGGATTCGGGTTCGATTCCCGGTTCCGCCCGTTCCGCGGGCGTCGTCCCCGGCTGTGTCACCAGGTGTGGGGTAGGCTCCCACTTCAGCCGTAGCCTGGGGGGTGGGGGAACAAGGGCCAGGAGGAGGAGGAGCCCTCCTGTAAATGGGCCACAAAGTGCCCGTTGGAGGGAGGCCTGAATAAATAAATAAAATAAAATAAATAAATATACTTCGGAGCCTTCGCTGACGAGACGCCGGCCCCGTCCCTTCTTTAGGGAATCACGAGCCCCTCCGGGTCCCCGTCCGAGTTTGGAGTCTGAAGGAGCGAACCCGACCAAGGATCCGCCAACTCAAAAAGCTGATTGCCGCAGCTGGGGCCTAGAAGAACGCCAGCTCCGCGTGGTGGCCCAGGGCTACATCCGTGGGGTCATGGAGCACGCGGCAGCAGCGTGGCTCCCGGCGACACCCCCTCCCACGTGGAGCTGTTGGAAAGAGAGAGAGATGAGGGCGGTGGTGCGCATCATCGCTGCGTACCCCCTCTCCACCCCAGCCCACGCGGTGATGGCGGAAGCGGGCCTAGTGCCAGTCGCAGCAAGAAGAGAGTCCCTAGCGGCGAGATTTCTGGCCAAAGCACTGGCTCTACCCCGGGAGTACCCTCTTAGAAGAGTAGCGGAGGCCTGTCCCACCGTACGCCTGAGGAGTACCGGGGGATGGCGCTCTCTGGGCCGGGAAGTCTGGACGGCGGCCGGTGTTGCGGGCCCCATCGAGCCGATGATCTCCCGCCGTCCCCCGCCGTGGATGGGCGCGGCTGGTGTCTCGCTGGCCCTGGACGTCGGCGAACTACCGCTGGGCGCGTCGGCAGCGGACAGAAGACGGGCGGCGGAGAGGTGCCTGAGAGGCCTAACCCAGTGCGCGACCTGGATTTGGACGGACGGCTCGGCGGAGGGCGGAGTGGACAATGAGGCGCTGGCGCGCTGATGGTTCGTCCGGGAGGAGAAGAGCAGGAACTGCGAGCCCCAGCGGGCCGGCTGTGCTCCAGCTACCGGGCCGAGATGGTGGCCCTGGCCATGCCGAGATGGTGGCGCTGAGCTGGCTGCTGGACCACCCAGAGGAGGACCCGGGCGGCCCGGTGATGCTGTGCACCGACAGCCAGTCGGCCCTATCGGCCCTGCGCGTGGGATCGGCGGCCCAGCAATCACGGCTGGGTGCCACACCCACAGTATGGCAGGCCCTGCTTACGCTGGCGGAGCGGGGCCGCCGGGCCCATCTGCAGTGGGTCCCCTCTCACTGCGGGCTGGTGGGACACGAACGAGCGGACACCCTGGCCAAAGAGCCCCGCTGGACGTGCAAACGGTTCACCGAGCCGCGACCAGATCGGCGCGGGCGCGAGTGACGGCGAGGTGGCCCAAGGGCTGGTACCGGGACCTCATGGGCTCGCCGGTGCAGAACACCGGCCAGCCCATGAACAACCCCCCTCCGCCGGTGACCGTCCTGGATCGAACGAGGGCGGCCGACGTCCATCAGTTACGAGACGGTCACTGATCGGCGTCGGCACAATACCTACACAGGATTGGACGAAACCCTGGCGGGCGCTGCGAACAATGCAACAACCACATGTGCCCGGCGGCGCGGTGCCCCATCTGCAAAGAAGAGGCACGTCCTGGCGCGCTGCGCGGCTCTGATGGGAACCCGTATGCGAGTGCTGGGGTCTATACACCCACACCTAAAGGACCTGCGGGACGACGACGTGGTGGCGGCCCTGGCGACCGCTACCAGGTCTCTCCAGAGCCGTTCGGCTACGCTTGACTGAGCGGAGGGACAACTAGAACAACAACAGTTTGGAGCCTTCAGTGACGAGACGCCGGTCTCGTCACTTCTCTGGAGAATCACGAGCCCCTCCGGGTTCCCGGAAGGCTTCGGAGCCTTCGCTGACGAGACACCGGACCCGTTCCTTCCCTAGGGAATCACGAGCCCCTCCGGGTTCCCGGCCGAGTTTCGAGCCTCCAGTGACGATACGCTGGTCCCGTCTCTTCCCTGGGGAATCACGAGCCCCTCCGAGTTCCCGTTAGACTTTGATGCTTAGGCTGACGAGACGCCGGCCCCGTCCCTTCCCTGGGGAATCAAGAGACCGGCGGTTTGGAGCTTTCGGTGAATAGACGCCGACCCCGTCCCTTCCCTGGAAAATCACGAGCCCGTCCGAGTTCCCGGTAGGTGGACCTCGGAGCCTTCGGTGATTAGACAATCGCCCCACCCCTTCCCTGAGGAATCACGAGCCCCCCCGGGTTCCAAGAGGAGTGAAGAGGCGCTGGCCAGGCTCCAAGCTTGGCCGCCGTGGACTCCGGGGGGGGGAGGGGGCTCGTGATTCCCCAGGGAACGGATAGGGCCGGCGTCTCGGTCACCGAAGGCTCTCGTCATCCGGGGGCCAATGGTATCTTCCAGCCATTCATTCAGCCATTCATTCTTTTACAAGAGTTGTACATGTGTGAAAATCAGCGTCACTTTACAAAGGAAAAAAGCGGCATCTCAGTCGTCGGCGACTTGCCCCTTTTTTCCCTTGCACTATGGCTGTCTTATGGCTCTCAGATGCAAAGGCAATAAACATTATACATCATAACTTATCCCATATGCATATTATGAAAATAAAAAAGGTACCGTGGTATGCATCAAACCGTAAGTGATCGAATGATGGTAAACAATAGCCTCAGCATTAACCTAGATGTGAAGGAAAAGACATAAACGGCCAGAAATAGTTTTTTAGCTCTCCTGAAAAGTTGAGTTTTCTGAGATACCCTTTTTTTCCTTTGCACGGCAGCATAGTTCCACCTACTGATTTTATTGCATGATGCACAACCCAAGGCACAACCAGTGCATAGGACACAAGCTCAACAACCTAACATATTTTCAGGACTGAGCACTAAGCTTTCATGGCCTGTTGCATTATGCTTGATTTAGTATGCAGAATTTCTAGGATTCTAAATTTTCCTTTCATGCATTTCAGGGCCAATCCAATCTGGCTTTAGTAGACTTGAACTTCTTATAAAGATACCTTCCTATTGAAAAGCGATTTAAAAGTTAGCCCAAGTATTTAGATGATAATAAATGGCTTGTTTGTTAGGCTCTGACTTAGAGTATTTTTATTGTTATAGCATGGCCTGGATCTTGTGGGTCAGTCAGGCTAATGTGAGATACAAGCATGTTGCCTGTGTGTGATTAGAATTCCATTAGGGGAAGTTGGGGCAATGCCGGAGTTGGGGCAAAGCCGAAATTCGAGATATTTCGAAAACCGTAAGACATGGATGCCACCTGTCAGTGATGCTCTGAAGCTTAAGTGACTACAATTATCGCATGTTTGTTACGAGTCGTCATTCGGAATACTTCGGCTGTGAGGGCGCCAAGAGCGTTTTCAAGGTACGCGTTCCTTGTACTACATGCGCCTTTGAAGCTGCATTTCTTACTCATTATGCTACCGTTTGTCTGGCCAATGCGGTCAAGTAATCTTCAGCATGTCTTTGCATAAGTGTGCTGCCTATTTGAAATTCATACGGCACGTTGAAAAGTTATGGGCCTGCAAATGAAAGTATGGCTGGCTGGGGTAATGCCGAGAACGTGCAATTACGCACGTTAAAGCACGCTACGTGGACTTTACTGCTGTAGAATAGCAACGCGAATTTTTAGTCACACAAATTACACTTTCAACAGACACAACGGCCTGTTACCTATAAGGAATTATTTACCTGGCATTTTCTTATTATATCACACAATTATAACTTCCAGTGTGCACCAAGCGTCCTCAAGCTCTTAAAACGCGTGTCAGCTTTGATAAATTCTGGATAAAGTTTGAGATAAAGTGGCAGAACATCAATGTCGGCATTCCCCGTAGATCATTTCTCCCATTTTCGGCTTTCCCCGCAGTCCGGGGCAACGCCGAAAAAGTCACTTCTTTGATATTTTTAGTTTGTGCGCTTAACGGTATGCGAATTCATCAAATGCGCCTGGTATGTTTGAAAGGCAAAAGACTGGCCTCTCGAATGACGCCAACAAGAATAGCTTATGTTGTCTACCTTGCGTGCTACGGGCGTCAGAAAAAAAGTGTTCGGCGTTCCCCCAACTTCCCCTATTATTTGCAATGGTTTTCTTTCATATATGAACAATATAGATTGTACATTATATGGATACAACTCAGTTTTTTTTAGTATATGACTTCTCATAAAAAATGAATATAATTCCTTAAGCAATTCCTCAGGATTGAAAGCAAGCATGAAGTGACAATAATGGGAGGGCTAAATGAATTTTGTGTCAAGTTCTATGGACCAAAAGAAAGTGAGTATGAAATATCTCATTGCAATAGTTCAGGGCTGCTACAGAGGGTTGATTACTTGATTGTGTGCTTGGAAGCAATGGTTTTGTTCAGTTTCATGTAAATTATATTAGCTTAATGTTTGAAAGAATGCTGGATAATTAGTTCAATATTAAAGATGTCTCCACTTTATTTGCAGTGCATGCTTCATTGATCAAAGCCAACCATTAAGTAGCCATTGGTCATTGGATGAATGATTTAAGTGTCAAAATGCATGGAATTGGACATAGAGCCAGAGAGAAGGTTATGGCCCCTTGGGTTCTCAGCCAACATTACATTTCTAAAACTTTATGAACTTAAAGAGTGGTGCAAAAATCATGTGGGTTTATGGAGCCAGTTTTTCAGTTGACCTTCTAGATTGCAAATATTCTTAGTTTTTAGACTAGAATGGATAGGAATGGGAAGGGCAAATAAATATTTAGTTTGTGATCTATCAGATGTCTCCACAATATTGGTAATGTCCCTGCTGAGGGCTAAAAGCTGAGCAAGCAAGGACAGAACATAAATGCTAAAATGCTATTACTAGCTCTTTAGCTGCCAAGCTCTTTCTGATAATTGTTCAGGATCTAGTTCATGCCAACAGTTTGTGAATTATGCTTAGAGATAAGATACCATTTTGCTCACATCTTTGCGCCCAGCTATACATGTTATCATACGAATTGATTTTCAGCTGTGCTTTAGTTCATGTGTGACAGCCACCACGCCCTGTCTGTCTGGCAGCTCCGTACGAGGGCGGGGTCTGGAGGGTTCGTGTGCTGCTGCCCGAGCACTACCCGTTCAAATCGCCCAGCATCGGCTTCATGAACAAGGTCTACCATCCCAACATCGACGAGATGTCCGGCACCGTCTGTCTGGACGTCATCAACCAGGCCTGGACGGCACTCTACGGTCAGTGGATGAGAAGGGTGCTGTGGGCGCAAATAGGAGCAATTAATTGGAGGGTCATGTTGGGGGTTTTCCGCGTAGTTAATGGATGATAGATTGTGCCGACAGCTTATTAATCGTACTTCGTGAACGATTTTGATTACGATTTGGTACTGAGACTTTGTTACATTGGTGTACGTTGAAATGTGACATTGATTTTCACCTTTCTCGCATTCAGCAGTTTTCCCGATAAATCTTATGTTGATTTTGCGATTGCAATGTGCAAGTCGGAAACGCACATATCTAAAATTGTATTTAATGATCGATAAATGCTCGAAAGGTGCGGGCCATCTGAAGGCTGTTACCGTCTTGACCGTGACACCTGTCAGTTTCCTTCCTGTGTTTGGTTAAACTACATCCCTCTTATTTATGATCTGAACGAAGTAAAAAAGTCAACGATACACTAGCGCACGACCATAAAGCGCTTGCATAAAGCTACAGATCATAGGTCTTGTGATGGCGTCTTTCATATTTATCGTGAACCCGACGAGCATTTGTGGCAGGTGCCGTTCCCATCGCTCGACCGGGCACTTAAGGTGGGATACCGACATGACCTTGCTGCTGGAGCTCCCCAGTCACACATTCAATGTGGCGAAAAATGCGGGTTGCATGGTTTTGGTAACAGCTCTTCATTGATGTAATGATTTGCGGTCAAAATTTCGGCGACCTTTTTCAGTTCGGGGGCTTGCTACTAAATTTAACGTGCATTTTTACTTCTTCTTCTTCTTCTTCCTTGCCAGCTTAGGCCGGGTCCCGTGGGGCCCGGCCCGTCTCCACCAGCAAGTCTACGATGAGGTCAGCTTCGGTGGAGAATATCTCCCCCAGCGTCGGCAGGGGGCCCCACCGGCGGGTCCGAGGCCCCTGGTGTGCGGGGCAGTCCATCAGCAGGTGCGGGACCGAGTCCGGCTCGCCGCAGTCGACGCACGCGTCGGACTCGGCCAGCCCGAGTCGGTGCCGGGTGTCTCCTGTCAGGGGCGAACATCCCACCCGGAGCTGCGCCACGGTTACCGACGCTCGGCGGTCCAGTCCGTCGTGCCCGGGCGTCGGGTCGGGGTGCGGGTGGCTGCGTCTGGCGCGCGCATCACACATCGCCCGCGCCCGGCGGGCCACCGCGGCTCTCGCCGACCACAGGTCCACGGGGATCTGGTCCTGTCTGCGCGAGCTCCCGATCGCTGCCAGACGGTCCGCCTCCTCGTTCTCCGGCAGGCCCGCGTGGCCGGGCACCCACTGCAAGTGGAGTCTGTGGCCTGAACGAGTGATGGTGTCTAGCAGGTCCCTGATCTCCGCTACCAGAGCCGACTGGGAGTCCGCCGTGTCTTGTAGCGACTGGATGGCTGCACGCGAGTCGCAGCAGAGGAGGAGCAGCATACTCGGCCGGTCAGGCAGATCGCCCGCGGCCTCGGCCAGCGCCTCGCGGATGGCCACGAGTTCGGCCCGGGTGCTGCTGCATACCTTCCCGGCCGCTACCGTTAGCTGAACGGTGCGGGACTCCTGGTGGAAGATCAGCAGGGCTCCCCCTCCGCCATCGTGCGTGCCGCCCCCAGCCGAACCGTCGGTCCAGATGGACACGTCGGGCTGCGGGAGAGACGCCAGCGTCGTCTCCGCTGCAGCTCTTCTCGCTTCCGGTGGGTCTGTGCGCGAGGTGGGCACCGTCAGAGAGGTCGATGTAGTCAGCCTTGTGGAGTCCGGTAGAAGAACAGGCGGTGTCAGGGCCAGCGGCTCCGCTGGGAGCTCCGCTAGGCCCGCCTCGCTCGCCATCCAGGCAGCAACTCGCCGCACGCAGGGTTTTGCATCCAGCACGACGTCCTCATCGCACGGCAGGGGAGGGCCGGAGTTTGTGCCGGCTTGCTGAACCTCTCGAATCCAGGCTTCATGGGCTCTGTACTTCAGTCTCGGTAGGACCTCCCGATCAATCACCTCCTTTGCCGGGTCGTCGGGAGGGAGCCTCTTCAGTCTTTGGGCTTCGTTCGAGGAGAGTTTCTTGGCTCGTACCGTGAGGGGTTCCAGCTGTGCCTCGGCGAGCAGTGCGTCTCGTCTGGTCGGGCGGATGCAGCCCGTGATGATACGGGCGCATGCGTTTTGCTCCGCTTCCAGGGCTTGTCTGGAGGCCGGGGCGGCATGGGTCATGTAGACTGCCGAACCGTAGTCCGCCAGAGACCTGATATATCCTATATAGGCTGCTCGGAGTGTGCGGCGGCTGCAGCCGTAGCTGCGTCCGGCGAGGGCGGCTAGGCAGTTTCTGCGTCTGGCCATCGACTTCTTCAGTTGCTTGATGTGCTCACTGAAGGTGAGGCCGCCGTCCATCTTGAGTCCCAGAAAGGTTGGGTAGGTGACATGGTTGACGGGTCGGTTCTGGAGGCTCAGCTTGAGGTGTACCTTTCCTCCGGCTTCGCGAGGGTCCAGAGAGAACGGGGTGGCCGAGCACTTCGATGCCGACAGCTGCACTTTCCACCGAGTACACCAGTCGGAGATTTCGTCCAGTGCTGGCTGGAGGGTCGCCTCGCACTGCGACAGCTTCCGTTCGGTGGCCCACAGGGCCACGTCATCCGCGTACACAGAGATGTGTACTCCGGGTGGGGCCCGCGGGAGGATGTCGCTGGCGTAGATGTTCCAGAGCAGGGGGGCCAGCACGGAGCCCTGGGCCAGGCCCTGGGGGAACAGGCGGCTGTCCGAGATGGATGTCTCCCACCGCACCCGTCCCCGTCTGTCGCGCAGTGTGGCCATGATCCACCTGGTTACACAAGCGGGCGTGCCCAGACGGGCCAGCTTGGCGGCCAGTCCAGCGTGCCACACGCGGTCATAGGCACGCTGGAAGTCCAGCAGCACCAGGGCGGATCGGTTGGGGCTCTTGGCCTCGAAGCCGTCGAAGATGCTTTGAGTCATCTTGATCAGTTGGTCGTTAGTGTTGTGCCCCTTGCGGAAGCCGGCTTGGTTTGGGTCCATCTTGTGGTGGGTTTCCAGCCAAGCTTGGAGTCGCCGTTGGGCCAGTCGCTCCGCGAGTTTCCCGATGCAGGAGAGCAGGGAGACGGGCCGGTAGCTGCCGGGGGCGCTGGCGGGCTTCCCCTTCTTGAGGATTGGTACGATGGTGGCTCGCCTCCAGGCTGCTGGGGTTTCGCCGGAGCGCCATGACGTGTTCAGGAGGTGGAGTAGCATCCTCTCCGCCGTCGGGCCCAGTTGTCTCAGCATCTCGTTGGACACCTCGTCCTGGCCGGGAGCGCTGCCTAGCTTCAGCTTGCCTATGGCGTTCTGTAGCTCTCTCCTGGAGAAAGGGGAGCACAGTCCTGTCTTCAGACCATTGCATTGGCAGAGGCCGGTGGCGCGTCTAGCCTCTTTGTTGATTTGTCGGTCAGCGTTTTTGTCCAGTTTGATCCGGGAGACCGCGGCGTATTCCTTGATGAAGAGGTTAGCCTTTTGTTTGTCGGTAACGGCTGGGCCCGCGGGCGGGGTGGGGCCCCTCTGCTCTTGTTGGATGGACTCCTTAGGCTTGGGGATCCGTCTTGCATTTTTACTCCAGAGGCTGATCCTGCGCCCTATTTACCATCCTCGTGAATCGATGCCAACCGGCTTCTCCCGTGTTTCAGATCTCTCCAACATCTTCGAGTCTTTCCTGCCGCAGCTGCTGACCTACCCGAACCCGATCGACCCACTCAACGGAGACGCGGCAGCCATGTACATGCACAAGCCTGAGGAGTACAAACGCAAGGTGGCAGGTGAGTCCTGCGGGGGGGGGATAGTCGCTAGCATTTCGTGTGTCAGGGTGTGGTGTGAAAATGGTGAAATAAAAGACCGAACATGTTTATGCGAAACACTCAGACAGTGAGATGGGGCATGGTTAGGACGGCATTGTTACCTACTGCACATGTGAAAATAGTGCATAGGAATGTAACTTGAAGCTTGAAGACAAAATGGGCTGGCAAACATAGTTGCGCAAAATTGATTGTTGAATACCATTGCGATGCTTGTTACGATTTGGCCATCGGGCTCGGGGCCCAACACTTGACGGTGAATTTGGACGCAAATTACGGCCATCAAGTCGCTAGCTGCAGCTCAGTAGCTTACTGAGTACCGAGTAGGTTACTTCATATTTCATGCAGTTGGAACAGTTTTGGACAGGCTGCTAGCTGCTGCGTAGACGTCAGCGTAGGGCGATCCGACCCTCACGGAATCGATCAGACTTTCGGAAGGCGTTGCTCGGTTTCATGCCATGCAACTACAAGCGCAGCGGTCTTTTTTAAGTCACCCGCTGACTCACGCTGTCTGCGTGGGTCCGGCTGCGCGGTCCACCCCGGACCATTGGGCCGTCTGCAGCGGTGGCTGGCTGCACCGGTCGTTGACCCCGGGGTGGGTCCAGCGGTGACCAGCCACTGCAGTGCTGCATCGGCCTCAGGGGCGGCTCACCGGGGTGGGGCAACCGGCTCATGTCGATACCTGGCCGGGTGTAAATGGCTCTGTGTACAGCGGGTGGGGAGATTAAGTTAGTGGAACTCTGGGGCATAGCTTCGTGGTATATGACTCCCTGCTGTACCCTTCGCTCGATGCTGGAGTGCACCGAGTTAGTCATACCTGGTGACTAATAATGACATCAGGGGGTATGGAGAAGGGCGTGTTTATTTTTAGCACGCTTCTGATTCTCGCAGGCTCTCACCACTGAGCTGAGTTTCGCTGTTGAGGACTACCGTCAGCCATTTTGATAAACATGGCTTTGTCTGTCATGGCACGATATGAAATTAGTGTCCGTGTCGCAGGGCGGCTGACAAATACGGCTGTCAGATTCCGTGGACACGGGCTTTGATCCTGGGGCTGCCGTGAGGTGCGACGTTTCGGTCCGCTGCGCTCTTCCCCACGCGAGCTGGCGTGTGTGCCGGACCAGTCCCTGTTTTCAAACCGGCAGTAACTCGCACCGTGTTACTGCGAGCTTTACCGTGGACGGAGCACAAAGAGCCATTAGGCGGACCTGCGAGCGGCGCTGTGGCGGTAGCCTCAACTACAGGTGGTGTTACGTGCGCCGTTGCTCTGGAATCAGCAGCTGGGAGCCGTATAACCCACTGTCCTGCGCGTCCATGGAATGGCGATCCACCCCGACCCCAGCCTGTCGCCCCGCTGGCACTGCCTCAGTGGTCGTTGACGCAGCTGGGAGGCTCTATGGCACGACGCTCACGCGTGAACGGCCGCTGTGCGCTGACCTTGGCTCACTCTGGGACCGCCCGGCTGCGCGCGCCGCTCACCCCCCCCCCCCCCCCACGGTCCCCCGCTCTGTTGACAGAGCACGTGCGGCGCTACGCCACGGAGGAGGCGATCGCTCCGCCGCCGCAGGTCTCCGACGACCTCTCCTCGGACTCCGAGTCGGAGCTCTCAGAGTTCTCAGAGGATGAGGCGAGGGATATGGAGCTATAACTGCCGCCGACGTCCGCCGTCCGCTGCTGCCGCTGCCGCCGTCACTGTCAGCCGGCCCTGACAACGTAGAGGGCATAGAGTCATCCTGATTGGGGAGAGAATAGAGGAAATTCATCGGGTAACGGAGGATTGATGTCGAAATCTTTCTTTTCGAAATCTGTTCGAAATCGAGTTTCGGGATATTTATCTAGAATCATAAATTCGTAACAGGCAGGCACCAGCTGATTCGGTCGAAATGAAAACGATGTGTTGGTTATCGGCATGCCGCTCTTAGCTTTGTTACGATTATTCGTTAACCATAACATAAGTAATGCAATCGTATTGTGAGCTTTTGTTTGGTGAGAACCGAAACTTACTTCGGTTTCATGTGTTCAGCGCTCAGTTTCGAACGTTTTCATAGCCTCACCGAAATCCAGTAGTGCTTTTGTCTGTGAAGTTTCCGTGCTTTAGAATTGAACCGATGTACTTAGAACTCTGGACTTGTTATAACCGTCGCCTAGTATATTTTCGCGACCTGGTTCGCGACGTTTCTGGTTTGACATTCACAGTGAGTAAACTACTTGCGATAGGCCGCGTAACTGTATCAGACAAGGAACAGCAAACCCTCGTGGTTGCGTGAACTGAATGTGTACGATCAGACTTCCCAGACCCGACTCTCCTCCGTCTCCGTGTATTATCCGACTCTATGGACCGCACTGTCATTGGCCGGCCCCCCGGCGCGGCAGCGGCAGTCGGCTGGCCGGCGGACCGGTGCCGTGTCAGTGTGCGTGCGTTCGTGTGTCATTTTACTGCTGTTACTGGTCGTCGTGGGCGTGTCTCTGGTTTAGCCGTAAGCAGTGTGGTTTGGGAAGTAGGTAGCTGGTAGTTGCGTGGGTTTCCGTGCAGGCTTGTCCTGATGGCAGGCCGCGGCGGTGTGCGCCGCGCCTTCTCTGTGCTCGTTCACGTGTTGGATCCCTTTTATTCTTGACTGGGAACTTGCTAGTGCGATGCTGCCAGCGGCAACAGGCTGCTCCCGACTTTCTACGAATCTCGTATTCTCAGCGGTTTGTCCATTAGTTCTGTCCCTGGATCTCGGCTTAGCCCTGAAAACCATTCATTGCCGTCCGGCCACCTGTAATCTGACAATATTCCCCGCTATGGACGGCAATTTTGAACCACTGCCCGTCCATGTGTACTTCACGCCCATCCTTCCAGCTCTCCTTCTGTTGCTAGCTCTATGGATCAACCTCATCGTTGGTATATTTCACAGTTGTTGGCGAAGTCACTGTTCGTCGGCTCCACCTCCGTCCTGTCTTTTTTTCGTGTTGTCCTATCCGCTCTGCCGTCCGCTTTCGTCCCGTCCCGTCTTCCGTCCTGTCCTGTCCCGTGTTCCTCCTGCCGTGTTCCGTCCTGTCCTGTCCCCCTGTTCCGTTCCCCTGTCCGCCGGCGGTACTCGCAGCACTGTAGCCTGTAGTCAGAGTGGTCGGTAGTTGAGTAGTGGCGCGTTGCTCTCCGCCGGGGACCGGTCCACCGCCGGCCGCGACTGTCAGCTCTAGTGATAAGGTGTGAGCGCGGGCGGCCGGCCCGCCCGCCGTGACCGGTAGTGTGCTGTCAGAGTGAGCCCCCAACCCACCCCAACGGAGGTGAACGATGCAAAATAATTATCAGCGGAGGTGAATTATATCGTCCAAGGGATTGTGTTCTGATTGATATGTGCTTGCTTCTAAGCTTTCGGAGTTTTGCGGGTTCTAAATTTTAGGAGAAAACCATGACTGACTGCCCTCGCTTTGAGTTCGTTGGGCACGAGCAATATCGTTTATAACTGATCACTTACTCTGACACATTCGAAATAGTCACATCAAGGAGTCTTCTAAAGATAATTCACGGTGTGTATACTTCTATATTATGTAAGCAGTTTGCGTCTGCCGGAAAACTGCCCCCATCTGTAGTGTGAATATGGCATGTGAAAGTCGGCGGTAAGGTCGCATGCCGTCTAGTTAAGTTGGTCTGCGCTGTCAAGGTGGCGTGGCCTTGTTTGAGCCGCACTACCTTGTCGACCGCAGCCGGCCGGAACCCCACAGGGCGCTGCCGACCCTCGGCGCTGCAGTTTAAACCTGGAATTCCTCGCATGGTTCGCTGTTTTCCGGTATGCAACGTATTTGCTTTTTGCCGTACTAAAGCATTTCAAATTATTCATTGTCAATCTTGGGGACAAGATTGACTGTTTTCATTGTTTGAACTTTTCGAACGTTATTGTTTCAACTACTGAGAATTTGTGTACGTTCTGGTGGTAAATGCCGCGATTACCAGGTGCGTATCTGCAGTGTCGTGTCGGTGGGCTGCCGAAGCGGGTTCGAACCTCGCCCGGTGCCGAACTTTTGGCGCCTCTCATTGTCCCATGTACTGGCTACTGGACCCTTTGTGAAGTGTTTACGTGTAGTATTGGCCGCTCGCCAAGAGCCGCAAGTGTTGTGTACCTAACGCCTCAATATATTTACAATAAAAAGGTCAACACTCAGTAAAACTCGAGTATTTTGCTTTGTTCGATTCGAACAGCGATGGGTGATGGAAGCGCATCTACTATTGAAAACAATAGGCTATCGACTCCGGTCACTTTATAAACTACGTCTTGTCCTACAAACAATGAAGCTCATAACAAGCCGATATTTATTCGGGCGATAAATACATCAATACAACAGAAGCAGTACACAAACAACACGCTGCCGACGTGACGGCCTCGACCGCAGGGTTTCCGTCGAGCCGCCGGCCAGCCGGGACGGGACGCCAGCGGGCGCTACCTCCGTCTCTGTATATCGGGCCGGGGCGCCTGAAACAGGACAGAGACGGCAGATGCTGACTCGTACAGACTTACACTGGACCTGCATGGGTAGAAGCCGCGCAGATATCGCAAACAACATTCCACTTCGGATTTATTGTTGATGTGTGGGGACAGGGGGAGGAGATTAGGAATACGGCTATGCGGCACATTGCAGTGCGGGTAGGCATTGTTTCGAGAAGTTTAAAACTACCTATTTTGAGTTATCGCAAAGCGGTGCTATCACGGTGTGCACAATGGAGAGTGCACACGTTGACATTACCCGTACGCACGCTGTACGCAGTAGAACAGTTCTACACCTGCTGACTCAACACCACGAAACTATTCGCCCGTCATCGACACCCTCCCCCCCCCCCTGCCTCCCCCTCCCCACTGGGCGAGTTCCGGGAGTGGACCGCTCTCGGCCCGTACCCAGCTGAACCCCGTCCCGCTGGCTGGAGTGGCCGGACGGTCCGTCCACACACCAGCCGGCCCCCGGCGGCCACCGCCAGTACCGGCCACTAATGGTGTGCTAGAGCGGGGCTGTGCAGCAACCGGCAATTAGCGATGTGGGCAGGATGGGGAGAGAAGGGAGGGTTCGTGCAGGAGGCGGAGCTCCTCGGGGCTGTATTACACTGTGTGGCTGTCAAATGTGGGGTATGTTGTTTGGTAAGAAAACGACTGGTTGGTGTAATTTAGGTGAAATTTACATACCCTAGCTCATTGTTACGGTCACCTTACATATCCCAGCGCAGATAGCCCACCTGTGTTGTGTAGTGTATCGTAGTCTTCCTATACCTAAGCACCACACCACCTCCCCATCACTCACCCATCCTAGACCATTCCTGGCCATCCTAGACGTCCCGCTGGTGTCCCCGCAGGCCGAAGGCGGGCGGCACCAGCAGCACCAGCACTGCCAGCACCAGGAACAGGCCGCCACAACAGAACCGCAGGTGGTGCGCCGTCTCCTCCCGGGAGTAGGGCCACGCGCGCACCAGGTCCCACACCACTCGGCTGAGGGCGCATGAGAAGAGGGGGCTTTAGGGAACACTCACGGGACAGTGGTCATGTGTGGTGGTGAAGGATGTTGTGACGAACAATAACACATCTCTGCAACCCATGACATTGCACAAGAAGTGTCCGTACTAGAGATTTCAATCAGATACCAACTTTTTGGTATACCGATACCAAACCGATACCAACTTGGTATTTGGTATTTCAATCCTAATGTCGGTTTATTTTGTTGGTATTATGAACCCTTACTAATGTATAAGAGGCTAAGAAATTTGTAAAAAGTTGGTATTTCCCTCATATTTCAAAGTTGGTTCGGTTTCGGTATTTCCCCACGGTTTTGGTTGGTATTTGGTATGGTATCGGTATTCCGATTTTCTGTAATTGACATCACTAGTCCGTACCCCTAAAGGGAGAACGTCATTTTTGCGGCAACTTTGGTTACTACTTAGTTATATTCCTCAGGACTGCGTTCTTCCAATTTGAAGTTGATCATCCGCTTGAGCAATCGATGTTTCGTTTGTACGAGCGATATTATAAACATGGCGAATGAAGGATGTAAACATTGCGAAATGCGCTCACCCAGGTCGCTTTGCAGTGTTTCCCTTGCTCAGTGCTCACAGTACAGTAGTGCCACCTCTAACTGTACTTTGTCAACCCGCCGCTAGGTGACACTACCAGCCCCTGCCGGCCGCCTGAGGCCACCGGCCTGGCCTATCCTATCTCAAGGTTATGTCTAGTTCACTGGTGTCACCGTGGAATACGATTGTGCAATGCGGACATTGTAACCGTGTTATTTTTGCATAAGCATACACGATCCTCCTACTCTGCAATGCGCATTTCATAAATGATGGGTAGGCAGCATTGCAACGGACCCAGGCATTTTGAGAATTCACCGTTTTCACCGTCCGTCATTTCCATCCTCAGGACATTCAAATCTTTCTCCTCCACACCTCAACTCCCTGGTCCGGTATGAACAGGCAACTTTATCCCATGCAGGAAGCTCCCATATGAGTACTCGTAGTCAGACCCGTTGCCGTGTGCGGCATAGACCCGGGAACAGGGGGGGCAGCGGGGGCGCTTGCCCCCCCAACTTGGGAGCCGAGGGGGCGGCGCCCCCTCAACATTGAGGCAGCGAGAAAGGATCTGTCCTCCCTTTTCCGGACTTCTTTCCTTCTTGTTTCCTTTATACATCTAAACATCAACACATGGCATTTTCCTTGCCATCTGAATGGTTTCTGCTGATGCAGTATCGATTTGACAACATCTGCTGTTGTCATCCCGCTTTGGTTTGGGCCTGACCTTGGCCATAAGTTTGTCAGGCCAGATTTTATACTGGACCATTTTGAGTCAACTTTGATAAATACATAACGTACAACAGTGGTAAAATCGTTGCTATAGGTATAACACAGTTTATTCCGCTCCGGGTGTGAGGGAGGGGTGTGGGACAGTGAGTGTACTGACCTGGCGCCCTCGGAGGGCCGGTATGGGGTTAAAGCTCAGCGACACTAAGGGCTTGTGATGCCTTCGGTTATCGCGGTAACACCCTCAGAATCACCGGCGTAGGGCCTCAGAGCCGCCGGTAAGGGGCCGTCATGCAGGTGCCGGTGTGGGCGCTCAGAGGTGCTAATGTGATTCTCTCAGAGGCGCCGCGCCGGTGAGGGTCCTTACAGGCGTTGCTGTGGGCCCTTATAGACGCTGGTGTGGAGCCATTACAGACGGGTGTGGGGCCTTTAGAGCTGCTGATGCGAACCCTCTACAAACCGGAAAGGGGTCTCAGTGACCGGCAAGGGGCCCTTAGACCGGCAGAAGAAGTCATGTGGGGTCCTTAGAGACCGGTATGGTACTGTCAGACGTCGGTGGGGCCCTCAGAGTCACCGGTGTGGGGCCCTCAAAAGTCACCAGTGGGTGGCCTTTAGATGCGCAGGTGTTGGTTGGGTCCTCAGAGCCACCGATCTAGGGCTTTAATAGGCACTGGTGTAGGCACTCAGAGTTCGGGGTGTGAAACCCTTAGAGACACCGGTGTGGGCCCTCACAGGCGCCGATGAGGGCCCAGCAGTTGCCGTTATGGGGCCCTCAGAAAAATAAGTGTGGGACCATCACAGGCGGGAAATGCCCCTAGAACTGGTCCCTCACAGGCCGGTAAGAACTCTCAGAGACCGGTAACGGGCCTTTGGAGACCACCGAGGGGCCTTTAAGAGCCGCAAGAGGCCCTCAGAAGCCGGCTTGAGGCCCTTATGGAGCTCTTAGTGTGGCTATTTAGGGCCCATGAGGTGCTTTAACGAGCCCATGGGGCCCTTCAGCGAAATATGGCGAAAATATGGCGAAGTATGGCGAAATATGGCCTCAGCGGTCAATGGCGCCGCAGGGCCCCTCGTACCCGAGGGTCCCTTTGAAGTTCGAACCCGAAGGGGGGGGGGGGGTACGTGTCCTCTTAAACCCCTAGCTACGCCACTGTTTCATATGCATCATGTCAGGTATTTTAGGCTCGCCCCCCCAACTTGAAAATCGTTCCCGGGCCCCTGGTGTGCGGTGTCAGGGGACTGGGTAGCCTGTCCTGTCCACTGCATGGGCTCAGCCCCGGCGACTCTCCAGGGTGTCGCTCGACTCTCGCCAATCGCCCAGACCAATGTCTCCCCCTAATTCATACTTTCTTTCCGGTTCTGAAATGGTCTTGTCAGACCGAAAGAGCCTAACACAACAAAACGAACAATGATCTAAAATAAATGCAATCAAAGATCTATCGTTATTTTTCAAACTGATTCCGGTGCAATCTCCAAGGCCATATCTAAGGCCATGGCCAGATCACTTTTTCGTTAGAGCCCGTTATCGCGGTAATTCACGTTGACCGTTTGAAAAGAAGCTGAACGCTGAGCAATAATCACCAGCATCGCATCAGCGTGATGATAACCGTAACCATGGTAACCAGCGACTCACCCGGCGATGGAGGTCTGTTCGACGACGGCTCCCGTTTGTCGGGAAAGCAGCGTGCGCAGGTCGTTGGCCAATTGCTCCTGTTCAGAGCGCAAAGAGGCCAGCTCATCCGAAACGGCCGACTCCACGTGTGACCTCAGCCTGGGGGCACGGCGAGGGAGGTCAGGGGGTCAGTTGGGGGAGGTGTGGATGTTGTATGTAAATAAACACTCTGGCACGCTCCAAAGTGAAAGGTATGTATCAATACCATATCAAAATAAAGAGTGCTTCGAATCAAAATAAACAGATACTACGCTCAGGACGCAATGGTAGCAGTTTGCGTTGCATGGTCGGTAAAACTTCGCCGGCTGAGTACCCTCTGGTTCCTGGCTGGGCAGGACTGGTCTACGTCCGTGACCTCTGTGACCTCTGTATGACCACCGCTCACGGGCAACCAACCAACGAATGAGCGAGTGCCCCAGGACAGCTCTTAGTCGGTGATACCGGAGCGAGTGTGTTTGAAGGGGCCGTGCGGATAATATCCGAACCCTGACAGTGCTTGGAAGGGTATTGGGCCAGTGACGAAAGGCCCAGTCACCGCTCTTGGTTACAGCTCAGTGAGTCAGGGCCGTGTGAAATGGACAGTGAACACGGACACTGCAACAGTTCCGAGCAAGAACATCCTTAGTGTCAAATTTTTCGAAGTTGAGATTTATATACCTACCATTCGACTCACCTCGACGAGCTGAGTCGAATGGTATGACCATCTCAATTTCGAAAAATTTGACACTTTGGATGTTCTTGCTCGGAACTGTCGACTGGTGCGTCGTCTGTCTCCTGTGAGAGTGCTAACTCGAGTGGCTCCATTGCTAGGAGTGTCTCGTCGTTTGAGTGCTAGAGCAAGGGTATGTCGTTGTTTTCGCTCTGGTCTCTGTGATGAGCGGTTTATAGCGGCATAAGCGCCGTTTTTTCATCTATCTCGGAGTGGATGAAGGGGCCGAGGTTGTCCTCTGAACTCTGGACTGGATAGCTACGAAGGTAAGTTTTGAGTTCCCGGCCTGGCTCGCCCGGTCGGGTGGCTGCCTTGTTGACCATGCGACAGGAAAGATAACTGGTAACCTAATGGTAAGTTAATGCGATATCTGGGTGTCATTTATAAAACATAAGGTAATAATGCATTTCTGTGTTTTCCGTGTTATGTTTCACTTTATCGTCAAAGTATGTACACGTCACAGCATTGCGGCAATGCATACCGCATAAATAACGTCGCTCTCAGGTTCGCAACAGAGCAGCATCACATATAGGACGCCAGACGCCCAGACCATGCTAGCTAATGACATCCTGACTTCATGTCCTTCAGTGCCCGTGTTTAATGGCGAGTGTCAGGCTACTTCACTTTCTTGAGCCGTCTCTAATTCGGAATGAATACACCTGACTGCTGTACAGAAGACAATTGTTGGGTTTTATAGACATAAGACGGTAAACAGTGCATTGCACACATTTGGAGATAGGATAGGTATGGTAAAGAGATCGCCGGTTCCAACTCACTCATCCTCGTCCGGTCTGTAAAGCTCGTCTGACGCCGTTTCCGGCTTCGTTCCAGTGTCGTCATGCTCTCGTTCCTCTTCCTTCTCCTCTGTGATCGAGTCGAAACTGGGGAAGGAAAATCAACACTGTCACCTGACCGGACCGTGGCGAGGCACGGTGACCGGTTCAAAAATCACAACTGCTATTCAGCGTGTCGACATGACATGAGTAACGGGTAAATAAATACGTCATGATTATGAAAGGGCATAGATTTGGTAGATATCGCTCAAGGTAGCTCGAGGGAATGATGTAAAAATCGGGGTTTAACCAGGTGTGCTTGCCTGTGAAGTGATTTTACCGCATGAGTGCTTTGTTTGCTTTGTTTTCCTATTAATGTTCTCAGCATAATGAGCATCAACAAACTACGACTTTCAAGCTAGAAGGTGCTCTTGAGCAGACATTTATACGGATAACAAGCCAGCACCAATGCAGTTTGCCCACTCCTCTTTCTCCATGGCCCCCATCGCTCCCACCTCTTCCCATCGGCCGAGTTTCTGCGCCGTTTCAGCATCAATTGGTTCGTCGGCGAGCCACTGGGCGGCGCCACCGTCGGCGGACGGGCTTCTCCGTTGCTGGGGCTGCCTCTGCCGGCGGCGAACACGGCGATGGAGGCTCGTCGCCGGCCCGGCGGGCCCGCCTTGGTCGCCCCGGGCTCCTGCAGGGCGAGTTTGTGCGAGGCGAGCACGCGGCGTGCCTCCTCGAGCTCGGCGTGCTCGCGGTCGTAGAGGTGGCGCAGGTTTTCCACGTGCTGAGTCATCACCTCGACGGCGTGTGAGACGCGCAGCTCCTGTTGCACAGCGCCTAGCACCTGTCCGAGGGGCGGGGAGGGGTGGTTGTCGGTTAGGGTCAGACACGGGGCCCAACTCGCACACAGACACACAGACAGGCCAGGATAAAAAGTGTCGTCCTGCAGCGACACGTGCGACGGTTGACGAGGCGCCACTGTGCGTCTAAATCAGACAGGTGGCTGCTAGGTCGGCTCCGCCACAGGTGGTTCTCTATTGTGCGCCGAGGTCAGCCTATCGAGCGAGTGACACCCACCGAGGCGGTGCAAACGTCATCGCCCCGAATGTGCCGTGCTGCGGTGAGGTACGGTCTTTACGGGCTGATGGGTTCAACTATCCACCCGGTGGGTGGGGAAGATAATTATCGTATATATCATAACTTGACATTTAGTGCTGTTATTTATTATGCGCCTTGCTGGTTAATTGATTTAGGGCCCGCTGAAGCAGATATAAGAGGGTCTATGAGGTCATATTAGCAGAGTTAGGGTGATCGGCGGCAGCCGTATGGAAAAAGAACCCGGCGTGCCGTATTTGGACCGTGATCCTCTAGCCATGCATTGCCAAAGTGATGGGAGTGAAACGATGAACTCAGGAGACGCGGAACATGAAACGTTTTCGCATTTTATGGCCTTTTTATTTGGTCCAGTCCCACTCCGACATAATTTTGACGCAACCTTCTCAGAGTGAGGATCCTCAACCATTTCACCTGTCGACTCTGACCTGTCCCCGAATCTAAACAAGCCTCAGCAGCGCCGGAGAGTATCTTCCAGTTTCGACCCACCTCTGCTGTGCTGGAGAGTCGCTGTGAGATCTGTTTGAAGATCTCCACCTGCCGCTGCAGGGACTTGAGGTGCGCAGGACGGTCCTCATCAGCCTGACTCAGCTGCTGCTGGGAAAACGACAGCAGAATGACAGTTAAACGGGCAGCGGTCAATAAACAACAATCATTGTAAACTGGCGAGAAGAAACGATGATGGATTAGTTGGGTAGGATGGAAGCTGTGCCGTCGTAGGAAAAACGTGTGACTGCATGACATGACGATCCATATGATGACAATTCATAAGCAATCGCGTACTGTTCGCCCAAGAGCGGACTTGTCTGTTTTAAAAGTAAAAGATAATCCTCCAGATTTGCATGGTCCATTGGCATGCTTATTAAATTTCTTTCGAAGATAACATTCTCAATCGACAGTTCAAGGATTTAAAAACCACGTAGTTCCGCATGGGCGAGCATAAATCCAGAGTAATCCATCCTCCACTGGCGGCATCAAGCCGCGCCCGACGCACCGTTTGAAGACCCTCTCACGCCCCCCCGACTGCCACCATGCTAGTCTGATCGGTATCAGGTCAGATTGGCCACCGCCATGTCACATTATAAATCGTTATTCGGGCTCCGATTGAATCCAATCCACGGAGCCGGGCATTAGGCGGCTTTGATGGTGCAGCTGACGGCGTATAAAGCACTGGCTGCAGTCCGGTCCCGCATGAAGTGGACATAACGTTTTGCGGCCGGGACCGAATCTGCACCATTATGACCTGAGCGTGACCGGTTCCCGGGAAAATAAAACGGCAAGGTCATCGGACACCCGCAGACCCGGGAAAACGGTACAGACCACCGCGACCGGTACCGGGACAGCGGTCCATATCGACAGCATGATGACGAAAAAATTGACCATCAGCCTCGGCTTTTGATGGGATCCTCGATTGTGAGAATCGTGGCTCAAATCCGCCTGAAATGCGGGCCTGATTGTTTGACAGGGAATGGAGGTGCCATGTAACCACGTTTTTTTTGTGTGTGTTTATCGGTAAACTTTTCCTTTGAAGTAAATGATCATGCAATCGGTATATTTCCAGGAAGGCCTCGGTCAAAAACTGCTGATCAATGCTCAATGCTCACTGTCCTTTGGTGGCATAGAAATAATAGCTAAGACATGATGAAGAAAGGATTAGACGAATCCCTCCTTTCTCCTTCATTTATATTTTCAACAATTAACCACCCTTTACGCGTTCAATAGTATTGATAACCGAAGGTTTGTTGTCAATAGTTAAAACACTATTCTTTAGAATTGTGTTTTTCTATTGAAAAACAAATCTGAGTTCCCTGACAATTTGGCAAAAGCTGCCTGAGATCAGTACAACTTGTATCAGGCTGCACCATAATTCAATTGTTGTTGATTATTGTTGATTGTAGTTGATTATAGTTATTATAGTTGATTATAGTTGTAGTTAGTTGATTCGAGATGCTATGCCCCTGAGCAAGTATACGGTAGATCAACTATGAATGCATCGTTTTTTTTTTCATTCAGCAGTTTCTTTCGGTATAATGTTGGATCCGCATTTTAGGACGTACTAGACCGTCTTTTGTTATTGCGAGGCATTATTCAATGCGAAGCTCGGAATAATTCTAAACCTGCTACTGTTGACGTTCAACACCGAAAAGAAAGGGTCGATTGACCAGCCATTTTTTATGGACTAGCCCACCATGGAAAAGGTGCAGTGCCTCCGTGTCACCGGTCCGCTTCATCGCCCGAATCAATTTGATTTCGAAACCCACAGTACCTAATCTCTCTCGATATTAGACCAGTGCAGATAAATAAAAGGTGGATTTATAGTCTTCAGTTGTGATGATTCATTAAACATCTGTGATGTAGTATATAGCCATGACTCACGACTAATGGGCTGAGGCTTGATCCGACGTTTTGAGCTAACGAGTCCTTTTCAAAACAAACGAGTCTGCAGTCGCAAGACTTTTTCACGTTGCCGCAGTGTCAATGCCAAAGGACCAGGACCAAAGGCATGAAAACACGCTATAACGCAATGAAAGTTCGGATCGGAATGTTGTCGGCTCAAATGTTCTAATACCGGAGTCCGGAGGTTTAAGAAAAAAAAACGTACACCGGCATTTAAGTGCTATTTAGTATGATCGTTTTCGCATCGAGAAAATTATTGATCATGCATAGCAATATTGATATTCATTGTTTAGTTTTTTTCTTGCTTACCAAGGCCTCCAGATAAAGAAACAAAAAGTTTTATAATTAAATATTAACATTTAAATATCAATAGAACGTTTAAAGGGGCATGGCTTCACGAGGCGTGTTTGAGTCTCTTGCCCATCTTATGACTTTATTGTACCCGAATAACCTGCTTGAATATTCGAATGAAGATGTCATGGACATGTTATGATGCTATGAAATCATAAAATATCCAATAAATTGACGCATCAGCGCCACCAAAGGTCTAACGGAGGCGCTAGAGTTCACCGTCGGTAACGAATCACCATGGCGAAAAACCTCGTATAGTAGGATTATTTGCATTAAAGGGACCCTCCCACCTTAACATTAGTTTTGAGTTGAGATAGCCAAGTTTGCGGCCAGGCTCAGAAACCACCATTTATCCTGGTCGCAACCCCCGCAGCTTTATGGTGTTCAAGAAATTTCTTCCCCCTTCTTGCAGGGTGGGACCAGCGTGGTCCCTATCTCTTAACCATTACGGGAATCTGATGACGTCATCAGGCTTTCGAACGTCCGTAAATGTTTGACTAAAACGTTTTGTAGCACGCGGTGGTATATGCTGCTTTGCGCGCAACAAATGCAAATAAACTTTTCAAATAAACATTGCAAACATTTCAAATAAAGTCGCTAGGAACAGCGGAGATCCTAAAAAGTAAACAAAAGTAAAAGTCTAATATCTTGAAAACCGGTGAATATTTTTCGATGAAATTTGGTAGATATTCGTTTTTGCTCTTTCTGAACCGAGCGACATCACTTCCATGCCAATTCATTAACTTTTTTGAAGGTGGGAGGGTCCCTTTAATGCAAAATGCTCAGGCATTTTGCAAATGCCTGACTTAAAATATCGATTAAATCATACGGGAGAACAATTATCTAAAGCTCACTCTCATGAATCGGTGATGTGAACCGTTCCCCTCGACTCTGTACTATCATTATTACCTATATACATAAACGCAATTACTGTAACGTTTCTCAATTTAGTTTCAACTTCTTACCCACCTCAGTAAATGTCTAGGGTTTGGTCATTTTTGGACTTCGCTTGCGTAATTAAAGACTAATGACGGCATCACCATGCGTGATCTAGGAAAAGTTGAATGTCGACTTCCGTGTTAGAGATTTCCCTAAAATGATTGTCCATAGATGGCGCCATAAGAAGACGCCTTGTGGGTATACTGTGCCGCAACACATGACATATGCAAGTGTAAAGGCGGCCGCACGCAGGCGAATCTCGCCGCCGAGTCTCCTAATGTGCAGCCACGTTCGTGATCAGTAAAGGAGGCAATATTCGGTAAAACCAAAGCTGTTTCAGTTCTTCTATTTCGTGAGCCATAGATAACATGAATCTGGATTGGACACGAAATCAGCGTGATGCAGAATGGGGCCGAAATTTTTGGAATGGGGAATCGACTGTTTTTTTTTTGTGAAAACCATCTCGTTTTGGCTACCACTTGAATGGCAATAACTTTGTTTCGACATTTTGATGTTTTTTGCTTAGGTATATTTCTTTAAAAATAAATCTAAAAACGAGTTTTATTAGAGCCGTATATTGCAACATTGACAAGTGGTTCATCGGCTTTGCAATGGTCACAAGACGCTACAACGAGTGGAGAGAGGGCGAAATGAGCAGACAACATAAAACATAATGACTAATGAGCATGTTCGCCTCACGCCTGAAAGGGTACGCTCGCCGTTTTCCGCCTCCTCCAGGCTGGGACACATCGAGTACGTGCATAGCAGCGCCGGGCAACGCAGGTGAACTTGAATCCTCCCGACAGACGGGACCGGGCGCTCCTCTGCAGTGGCGGTCGTTGCACTGCTCGCACTCCACCATTGACCGGTTCGGAGTTGGTGGACGTCCACCGCAGGAACCGTCCTGTCGCCGTCAGTGATAGCTACTTGGTAGCAGTGATCCCATCAGCTGCGCCTTCTGACCAGTCATGCCTGGATAGTGCGGGCCCTCTTGTGCGGCTGCGTCTCCGTGGGCCGTCTAGAGGTCCACCGGGACTCGATTCTGGCCAACATCGCTCGTTTTCCTGGCAATAATATCGACTCTCACATTGCACTCCAGGCCGCAGCGCGAGGGCACCCGCTGAGGTGGCTGGCTGACAGTCCTCGGAGAATCCTCCAGTTCAGCAGGGAGCCCTGGACGGCTGAGTTGTTGCGGAGAGAGGCGGCGAAGGCGGATTGGGAGTCGTTTAGGCAGAAGACTGTTTAGAGAACAGTTGCCTTTGGTTCATGCTACATGTCGAAGGAGCAATGAGCAGGATAGTTTGTTTTTCGTCCTTGGGCTTCCTACCTTACCACCATACGGGCGTCCCAGTCGCCCTAGCCACACCACGAAGCTGTTCACTTCGGGTTCAGATTACATCTACGGTTGAATAGTCTCAATCGTATAAACGATCCTCTTTCTCGATGCCACTGGGCGGGCAACTGAGCAGCCGACCAGCCAATGGGTGACGGTCTTCCCTCGTCCGATTCCTCGCACTCCCGACACGCGTCGTCTTTCTACAGTCCGATGCAGTGATTGTAGGCTCCTAGCAGCGTCTAGTAGCCGTTGGAAGGTCTAGCAGCTTCGACGTTCTTCTGGCGTGGAGGGTAAGTTCACACCACGTGAGCCATTTTAGAGTAGTTAACGGGTCTTCTCTAGGGCTAGAGCCGTTTATACCAGTGCCTATGAGCGTGCGTCTGAGTCTGTATCTCGCCGACCGCAAAGCGCAAAAGTCTAACTCTGTACATGGCTCACTCTTGCGCTCGCTCGCTTGTTGTCCCAAAAGGCGTCTTGATGTTACTATGGTTCCAGGATCCCTGTAGCGTATCGGTTAACTTGCAGTGCTGACGACCCATGGTGCCTCGGATCGCTGATCCGTACTGTATCCAATTCCACGGCGCCAAAATTCCATTCCATCACTTTTCTTAAAATTGTTTACATTCGTTTGAAAGCATAATTACTACCACAGCAAGTCTTCCTCAAACTGACGGCCTGAGCTGGGCACCATGAGAGTGGACGCTTGGCTACGATTATGTGAGCATGATGCATTTTGGTGTGGCCCTTCCGAAGTGACGAGATTTTCAGCACTGAAGCCGAGAGCACTGCAGCTCCTCTCCTGTACGAGAAGAGGGCAAACATTTCAAGTCGGGCTATGTAGCTTGGAAATGCTCCTGGTTGAGGTCTCAACCCTGTGTGGTAGGGTTATCATCAGATTGGAGTCTTTTTTTTTGTCGGGAAAAACACGCTTGTCGCTTGTTGTTTGTCTTCTCCGTTGAAGCTCTTCTAATTCCTTGCTTTGCTACTTGAAGGGCTCTCCAGTCACCATTTCTTTACCGTGTTTTCTTTTGTAATGAAAGCCATAAGCTAACAAGCGTGAAATTGTAAACGAAACGCAAATGCCTTAGGCTTAATCACTTCATGACTTGAAAAAATATTTTGAATCGATTCTGATCACAAAATAACAGTAAACCACAAATACTTATACTCTGATTCAATACATTGCCAAATATAACAGTTTCAAATGTTTAAATTGACATCAAGACTCCCCCATGCCACTGCCCAGAAATTTGCCTCTGAGACTCCCCCATGCTACTAATACTGGTCAATGGTCATGATCTGGTCATCATCAAGATTGCTAATTATATGACGTTAAATGTGTAATGTGAAAAGTACATAGATGCTAGAAAACCGGCTCCCACACCCCTGCGCAAACAAGCATTATATACCCTGGCTTAGTGCTTAGTATCCCACGCTCCCTCTCGTCTGCATATGCTCGAGTCATTGAAGACCCAAGATGAAGACTTGATACCTACAAGACAATGAAATGGACGCAAGAATAGACCTAGTCTAATGACAGTCCATTAATCTAAACTTAAACTTAAACTTATCGTCCAATGCAGGCTATCTATTTGAATTTGAATGAATTCAATTTTAATTTGGTGAATTTTAGCAGATCGATCGCGCGGACAACAAACTAAGGATCCTACTGATAAATTTTCGGCCCCATTCTGCAATTATCAGAGTTCGTGTCCAATCCAGATTCATGTTATCTATGCGTGAGCCTATCTCATGCTTAACTATGTTCAATCAACGTCGGTCTTAGCGTTAAATGTTAAAATGTCGGAAAATATGCATATACTGAATATACGCGATTCTTTACGCGGTTGCCAACGCCTATCCAGCATTCGGTCGGTCTCTTTGGTGACGCCCGCCATAAAGAGAAACAGACCATCACATGAGATTATCACCCGTCACTACTGAACCTTACGTAACTTAGTGGGCACTTTGCTCTACTGAGCGTGCACCGATTCTATATCAGGTGTCTGGTTACGCTTCCCGCCCGTGCGCAATAAATCACCCCTGGTTTTACGTCTGGAGCGACCTCCAGTGACCTCTCCCACTCCTGCCTGCAAACAATAGCTCGACTCCCCGCATCTCCGCACTGCCCGGCGTAGTTTTCTCCGCGAACCGTAAAAAGCTGCGGGCGGACGGGCCGTGTCGGTGCCGTCTAACCACCGGTTAGCGGCCTTTCATCGCGTGAGACCCGCCCCGGAGTGACGCCTCTCACCCCGGGCGGTTGTCGGTCATCGCCCAACAGTGCGAGATGACCTGACGTGACCTCTGTTTGTCGCGGAGGTCGTAAAGGGTCGACGGAGCGGCACTGCAGGCCAGGCCACGCAGTCATGGAACCCGCCTCAGGCGCTGCTTCGGGCGAGGCGGGGTGCGCCGAGGTCTAGGTTAGAATGCAAATTGATAATTTATGCGAGTTTTAGAATAATGCAATGCCAATCTTAATGTTAAAGTGCAGTGGACTGTCTTTCTTTGAACAGCTTAAGGCATTGTGGCTCATGTCAGATCACGGTAATGTGTGTTTTGAGAGAACGTTAATCGGCTCTCCTGTGGCCGATCCTTTCAGTGTGCACGCCAAGGTAGTCACTAGCCGATTAACCACAAATTCGTGGAATCTGACTTCAAGATTGTCACCATGTGTCTTGTAAGGAATGGATTTATGTTATCCTGAACGTAAATCTCCAACGCACATGAGGCCAGTCATAACTCATAACCCGTCGTGGTCCCGTGGCCACATTTCCTGATCCGACCGGCGCGGCGGCCACCACCGTTATTTGGTCCCTGAACAGACGACGCTGAACCGACCACTCTGGTCCGACCACGCTAAATCAACCACCTATGACCACTGGTCCCAGAATCGACCACCACTGGTCCCGGAACCGACCACCACTAGCTACTAGTCCATGAACTGAACATTATTGGTCCCTCAACCGGCTACCACTGACCTGCAGTTGGTCCCTGAACTGACCACCACTGACCCCTGAACCGACAATCAATGACCATCAATCGGTCCCCGAACCGACCACCACTACCCATCAGCTGGTCCCCGAACCGACCACCACTAACCATCAGCTGGTCCCCGAACCGACCACCACTAACCATCAGCTGGTCCCCGAACCGACCACCACTAACCATCAGCTGGTCCCCGAACCGACCACCACTCTCCATCAGCTGGTCCCCGAACCGACCACCACTGACCACCAGCTGGTCCCCGAACCGACCACCACTAACCATCAGCTGGTCCCCCGAACCGACCACCACTGACCATCAGCTGGTCCCTGAACCGCTGCGTCTCCAGCTCCAGGTTGTGCTCCGCCTGATCCCGGTGTCGCCGCTGCACGTCCAGACGCTCCTGAAGGGTGAGTCGATCCGTCTTGAAGGCCAGCGCCAGCGAGCTGAACTTGTTCTGAAACAAAATCGGGGACGCTGGTCAAATGTGGTTGTTGCCGATTTATCATTATTTGCTCGTTTTGTTTTTGTTTACCTGAAAGAGCTTGGATCAAGACGGTACAACACGAGCAGTTGGCGAGTGAGCTGAAGGACCTGAAAGCGGGCCGAGCAGTGAGCTCAAAGAGCAAGATCGCTGGCTTATCGCCCGTGCTGGTTGACGGCATAATCTGCCTAGACAGCCGGATCAAACGATCACCGGAGCTGAGCCCAACCGCCCGACAGCCGCCCATTATGCTCCGAGGCCACCGCTACGTCGAGCTGTATATTCAGCATCTCCACGAACGGATGGGGCACCGAGCCCATGAAGCTGTTCTGACGGAGCTACGGCAGCACTGCTGGGTTCCGCAGGCACGGCAAGCTATCCGAACGGTGGTCAAGAGATGTCAGGCCTGCAGAGTGCGGAAGGCTCAGCCTCATTCTGCCCAGATGGCCCCACTTCCGGCGTCTCGGGTCACGATGCTGCGAGGCGCTTTCTACGCCACAGGAGTCGACTTCTTTGGACCCATCTGGTCAAAGAGAGGCCGCTCAGATGTCAAGCTCTGGGGCGTCATCTTTCGATGTCTGGCGACCAAAGCGGTTCATCTGGAGCTCACCGACAGCCTGGACACTCAGGCCGCGTTGATGGCGATATCCAGGTTCCAGGCCAGACGAGGCAATGTTCGCGAACTCTGGTCAGACAACGGAAGAAATCTGCGCGCCGCGGAAAAAGAACTGAGACGCGTTCTCCAGGAGCTGGATCAAGACGAGCTCCGACAGAAGTTAGGAGTGGATAAAATCGAATGGAAGTTTTCCCCTCCGTCAGATCCTGAGGCCAGAGGTGTCTGGGAAAGAAGCGTGAGGACCGTGAAGGAGACGCTGACGGCGATCTTGAAAGAGCACAAGCCTCGCTATGAAGTTCTACTCACGCTGTTCTGCGAAGTCGAGAAAATTCTCAACTCGACACCTCTGTTCCGCGTTCCCGTGGACCCTGATGATGATGACCCGCTCACACCATTCCACTTCTTGATAGGAAGGGCGACTCCAAGCTACCCAGCAGGAAAGCAGGATGAACACGTTGACCTGAGGAAGCGATGGGAGCACGCGCAGCAGCTATCAGATGCCTTTTGGCAGCGATGGGTCAAAGACTACCTGCCGACGCTCGCGCGAAGACCCAAATGGAGACAGCATCACGCGAATGTACAGGTCGATGACATCGTCATCATCGCGGACAATCGACACCCGCGCGGACTTTGGCCGAAGGGTGTCGTGGTGAAGGTGCACAGTGGTGCTGATGGCATTGTGCGCTCAGCTGAGGTGCGCACGAAGCACGGTGTTCTGCATCGTCCTGTGCGGAAACTCGTTATACTTAGTGTCATCCCACGACGGGACTAGGCGCTTCTGATCATGCGAGTAGCTTTTCAAATGGTACGTTGTGTCTCTGTGAAAATCGGCTGCAGGTATCTGAAACCCTGGCTGTTTCAGAGAGGCCGGGATGTTGCCGATTTATCATTATTTGCTCGTTTTGTTTTTGTTTACCTGAAAGTGCCGATCAAAGTCATTTCATTTCTCTTGACCCGGAGGTCACCTTATTTGTCGCGTGATTAATTTTGATTTTTCGCAGTCACCCTTTGTACATTTTCGTCGATTTTTGAGGTCAGAGGAAAAACTATTTTCATTGTGTGTCAGTGTCGAGTCACTTTGTTTATGATACGAAAATAAACATTGTTTGGCTGGCTAATGAAAACTTTTCCCGTTGCAGTACGCAACAGTGGTTATTTATTGTCGGGCACTTATATGGTCGGGCGTAAGGCGTTTGTATCAAAAAGTGACGGTAACGTTTGTGGTTATGCAAGTGATTGTTTCGATAAGCATTGGTCTTACAGTTGCATTATTGGAAGTCATATTTGTCTCCCTAGCCATACTTGGGCGGGTGATATAGCCGACGTTTACTAACAATTGCGGTAATCTCTGACTGATTTACCTACGAATTACTGATGATTTAAGTTAAACGTGTAGAAAAGGTTTTTCCCATACATGCAACATTGCACGTTTAAGTCGAGAAAGCCAGGCATTAAAATGGCACGTGCATTATACTGCACTTTTGAAACATACGAGAAGTCAATGCTGATTGGTTTCCGAGACATGCAGGAAAATATGTTTTCCTGCACCTTTGGACGTTTTCCTGCACCCCTCGACGTTTTCCTGCACCTCTCAAATATATGACGTCATTATGAATGACGTCACATCATAAAGTTGAAGAACATCATTTTGCTCCTTATAACTTCATTTTACCTATCGTCCATTTTATTTGATTGGCTTATGATATACCTACCTATATTGTGTTTGATGCAAGGATTTTATAATTTGTCATGAATAAAGTGAAACATCACCATATAAAACTTAAACTTTGACGCTATTTCGCAACAAACCATAGCCACGAAAGACTCAACAAGGTTCAAATTGAGGCGTTTTGGTTCCTCCAAAACATTTGCAACGCTCCCATGGTACGCAATACGCATGTATGGGAAATAGCTTCCGATAGCTTCCTGCCCTGAGCTGGGAAAATTTAAAGGTGTCACCTCGTATTTTAATCGAAAGTACCTCGGGCCTACCGGCCCTCGGTACTTTCAATTAAAACCGGCCCGAGGTACTTTCAATTAAAAAACTCGGTGACACCATTAAATTTTCCCAGCCCCGGGCAGGAATGTATTATGATAGCAAGATAGGTACATGCATGTACAATTGTACGTCGGACTTCCATGATTTTCCGCAGGAAATTGCTGAGTTATATCTACCAGAATTTCATTTCATCACGATGGTTGCAAGACAAAAAGGTGCCGGTAATAACTAAATGAAAGAGTGAATGAATTAAATAGCGAATGAATAAATGAATGCTGGTAAAGTGGCTATGAAAATATTTGTTGAACCTTTGCTGAATTTGTAGCAGAATTGCATCCTTGATTAGGAAACTGATGGCAGCACAGCCCACGACCCCCCCCCCCCCCCCCGCAGTTCTAAATTCTGAATATCAAATCACTATAGCGGGTGAAAGCACGGTGCCTCATTTTTTGAGATATTCAAGAGATTGTCTTCTCACAAATAAAGGCATTACCTGTACGGGATAGAAGATATCGGCATTTCAGCCTGTTTCAAGTAAGATCAAGTTGATTAGTGTCACGGATAGCATTAACAAAAGTTAACACTTGCATTCGAATAAAATTCAAGACCGTAAACCATCGAACACCTCAGCCTCGCAGCTACCAGAATTCGCCCCAAAACGCCACTTCTCGGCTTGAGGACAGCAGAAAGGCATAATGAAGACGGCACGCCCTTGTCCTTCACCGTCCAGATATAAATTCGACATCTGGCAGCCAGTCTTCGCGGCACTGCTAGCCTCTCACGTCTTGTCTCTGACTGCTCGTGTTCCACTGTCGTCAATGGCCTGTGACTGGAATGCCTCCCCGCTATCGTCTAAATCAAGTCCCTCCATAGATTGGATTCCTAGCGGAGCGCTAACCGGACATATTCAACCACTCTACGCCAACCCACTACTACTCCAGCAGAAGCGACTACCGCGAACAGGCACAGTTAGAATTCGCTATTTCAGAAGCCGTGCAGCATACAGCGCCAACTCCGACGCCTCTCGCCAGCGGGGTCGTTTAGCCTACGTTCCCCCCATCCTACTGGCTGGGGACGTAGAGCTGAACCCCGGTCCAAACTTCGGGAGCCAGAACACCCTTGAAACGTCAGTCTGCCGCCGGTCCCCTGCGCCCTCACAGTATTCGTGCGCCGCCTGCCCCAGTCTTTCTACAAGAAAGAACTCTATCAACTGCGACAGCTGCGGACAGCGCTGGCACACCACTTGTGCCAGAATTACCGTGGCCCAGGCGAGCGCCTTAAACATATGGCACTGTTCTGACTGCCGCCACAGCTCAGCCAGTTCCAGATCCTTAAGAGCCAGCCAGGAGGTCAGAAGTCAGTCTCATCTTCTCAGTCCCACGCCAACCACTCTCTCAGATCGATTGGCTGAACTGCGTCGCACACACACCGTCATCAAAAGGATCCCGAAGGCCGCACGGGCTGCAACAGCTGACAGCCTATCGAAGCTTATTGAGGGCGCCATTACTAACCCCAGCACTGAGACATGGGAACATTTTCTGTCATTCGCGTTCCGAGCCCTGCGCGCCCCATGCAAGGTCCCCGGCGAGAAGCACAAGACAGCAGCCTCCGTCATCAAAAAGCAGATAGCCGACTTGGAATCAAACGTACCACTTGTAGCAAGACAGAGAGAACCTCACTCGCCCACTTCTGACCGTCAAAACAGTGTAGCTCGTCGTGTGATGTCAAAATGCGCAGACGGTGACATCAAGGCAGCCCTCCGAGCTTTAACATCTAACGAGGAGTTCATCCAGCCCACTAGTGACACAGTGACGGCCCTTAGGAGGAAACATCCAGCGGCGCCTCCTGATGAAAACATCCCTCCGCCTCTGCAGTCACAAGAAGCTCCTCCGCTACGGGTACAGACGGCTCAGGTGAGGTCAGCCATCGAGTCGATGCCGACCGGTTCAGCAGCAGGTCTGGACGGGATGAGGCCCCTCCACCTGCGTCAGCTCATCTCCGCCGAGGCGTCAGAGCCAGGGCGGCGCCTTCTGGGCTCACTGACCTCTCTCGCCAACAAGGCGCTGGAAGGAGACATCCCAGAATGTGCCAGATCTGCCTTCTTTGGCGCCACCCTTTGCGCCCTCCGGAAAAAGGACGGAGGACTGCGGCCTATTGCAGTAGGCAGCGTCTATCGCCGTTTGCCCTGCCGCATCGCTGCACGACACGCTGCCGACCTGCTCGGACCCGAATTCAGACCGGTGCAACTAGGCGTCGGCACTCGGCTCGGATGTGAGGCCGCGGTTCATGCCGCACGTGAATATATATCAAGCGTGACGGATGTTCCGTCCCCGAATGTCATCTTAAAATTGGACGTAC